CAGAGAGGAACTCTATGGTTCTTACAATCTTGACAGATGAGTAATGGCAGACATATTTCTCTTAAATTAAGCTATTTGCATTACTTGCTATATGCTAAATAAATATATATTTGCATTACCAATTTTCTTCTGTGTAAAGCTGCAAGTGCTGGGTATGTTCTGGATTGGTGATTCTTAAGTTTGCTGGACTGAATGCTTATAATGGAGACACCTGAGGAGTTCTGTGCACATTTTTAGGAGTTACAGGCTTGGTTCTAACTTTATACAATGTGCTTAAATCAAAATGCATTTATGATTTTGTTTTGCCTTATTTTTTTACGTGACTCTAATCACTTTGCTAATAAACTACCATTTACAGTTAAGCAAATGCACCCAGGCATAAGATCATAAGGCAGACAAGACTTTCTGCTATGATTAGTGAAGTTAAAATGAGATCTTTAGCAGAGACCCATCACTGACAGGCATTAAAATTGTGGGAAAACTTTCCCCACACATTTCCCATCAACTCAAGCCTGAGCCACAAGAGCTGTTAGTTTAAAGTTTCACTTTGCATTTTATGACAAAATCATGATATAGGTTGTGTATTTTCACTGTGTGCAGGACTATTTGTCTGCTATACTATGAAGAACCAATTTGTAGTAGTGATTAAGGCACCAAGCTAGAAATTGGGAGATCCTGCCTTCTAGTCCTACTTTATGCACAAAACCAGTCATTCTTTCTTTGGGCCAGTCATTCTTTCTCAGCCCCAGAAAAAAGCAATGACAAACCACTTTAAAAAAAAAAAAAAAGTTGCCAAACTGCAGGTACCAGTTCAGGCAGTTGCCAGGAGTCAAGATTGACCTGAAGGCATGAACCAACCCCCCCCTCCCCAAAAAAACCCATGAAGTAATTGGTAGTTAGTTTGGAGATAAATATTAAAGAGAACAAAGTGTGAAAATCATTTGTTTGTCAGCACATGCAGGGTAAAAAGGAGTAACTGGTTTGGGACAGCTTTATGAATTGATTCACATATTGTGCAAGACATTGTCTGTTTGGTGCTTGTTTAGTAATATATGAATCCAGCTATTGATGCATAAACCATGATTTGTGACTTGGTATGATACAAAAGAAGAGTCAACTGTGGTTCATTGAGACAATGGCTTAACAGAAGTCCAGTTGATGATAACTGTTTATCTTCAAATATGATGCTGACACAGGTAAATATATTCCAGAAATTTTGAAATTGGATTAAAAGCTAATTTTCTATAGAATCCACAAGTACATCACACAAATTGTCATACTTTTGATTTTATATTGGATGAACAGCAAATAGATGGAAATATACAAAATCTGGATTTCATAGTTGAGGTTGGGATTCAAGTTGAAATAACAGATCTTAAATAAGGCAATTAAAAGGTATAATATCAATCTTTCCAATGTTAGGCTTGTAACATATGGCTGAAGTACATTTAATTCTTCTGAAATTTTTTTACATATAATGTAGCAATTAGAAATATCCTAATTTTTTTTTTAAAAATGAACATGGAAAAAATTCTGAATTCATTTGAAAACTACAGTAGCCTATTACAGCCTACAGAAAACTAAAGCACTGCAACATTCATTCAGATCTATTTTAAGGCTACTAAATCAGGGTGCAAAAATCTGAATGAGTAGTAGTTGGTAGTAACAACTGGCTGGATGTTTTTGGGCCAGTCCCTCTCTCTTAACCCACCCTATCTCCTGGGGTTGTTATTGTGGGGAAAATAGGAGGAAGAAGTATTAGGTGTGCTTATCACCTTTGAATTATTTATCAATAATAAAGGATGGGGGAAAAAATCAAACAAACAAGATACCAAAAGTCTTGCTCCTGTACTTTTGTAGCGTATTTGCAACCAGGTTTATTAGCCCTATTATATTTCCCAAGTTTTTCTTTATGCCAATAATATTTTCAGAGGCATTTTTATGAAGTAAACTTGGCTGTTTAGGCCCTGCAGCATACGCAATCCAATGGAAAGCTCTCCTTACAAGCAACATCTCTTGGAAAGATGAATATTACACACTTTTCTTTAAAATATTCATCTTCTGATGATATTCATATGTAACAGATTATGCAAAAAAGTGTATTTTAACAAAGATGTTTGATCTTTGACTAATATATGGAATTATACAGCTAACAGGTTTACATAAGCTTCTTTTTTATCTCTCTTTAAGAAGCAAACTGAAAAGTTTTATTCGAAGTACAATAGGTGAAAAGCAGTCAATAAATGCATCCCAGATTATTGTGCTTGCATTATGAAATACTATCCTACTAATCAAAAGAATCAGGATGAGTGATCCAAATTCTAAAAGATATAGCAATGCAATATAACCCTCAATATATGAAAAAATCCAGAACTTTTTGAATGACTTAAAGCGACCAAACATTTTCCTTTTAGCACTGCAAGGATTTCAGCTTCTACAGTTATGAAGTTTCTCCCATTTATATCTGAGTGAGAAACTTATGACCTCTAAATGTTGCAAAACTACAATCCCCACATCTCTGTGTAGATCAGTGCTACCTGCATACTATCTGCAATAGATAATATATTTGCACTATGCTACATGGAAAAGAATATATGCTTAGAATCTAAAGAGATGACTTTGGGTCATTTCTCTCTCAGCCTAAACTCACATCACAGGGTTGTTGTGTGTAAATAAGCAGCAACAGCATGTACACCTCTCAAGTTAACAAAAAATAAAGATGGGATATAATCAAATAAACTGCTTTAAATCTTGATACAGTAATCCTGATTTTTTTTCAATAACATGAAGTGTTGAAGAACAGTTGAACAGAAAGACATAATTATTAGGGAAGTAAAAAAAAAAGGAATGTGAGCACCTGTGTGTCTTATGTTTCAGCACTTTTAGGCCCAATTTTTATTTTCTGTTAAAGCGTGTAGCTGCCAATTACAGATAGATGACTAAGAATACAATCTGTGAAATCTAACTAAATCAGCTAGCATCAACAAGACACCCAGTTTACACTAATCTGATTAACTGATGCAAGCCTCTGGTTTTGAGAGAGCCTCTAATCCCCATGAGCACTTTTTCAGAGGTTTGGAAGGGGTCATTCCAGTCTGCACAAGCTGAATAATGTTTTGAAGAATTCAAATTTGTAGTTTTAATATCCAATCTATGTGGATGTGATAGTTAAATAATGAATTGAAACATATGTTATAGACCAGTGGTTCTCAACCTTTCTAATGCCGCGACCCCATAATACAGTTCCCCATGTTGTGGTGACCCCCAACCACTCATACATCACTGGGTGCCAGGAGTGTGGCCAATGAAAGGGGGGGGGGGGAAATGGCAGACAGCCTTGTTTGGCGACCCCTGTGAAATGGTCGTTCGACCCCAAATGGGGTCCCGACCCACAGGTTGAGAACCACTGTTATAGATTAATCTGAAAGTGGAAAAAATCTCTGCATTTTAAGTGTAAAACTCCCTTACATGCTGTCTCAACTTTTTGAGTACTAACTATATTTCTCTGAAAGCTAACAAACAAGATAGTATATAAATTACATGTTCTTAGGCCTTAGAATATTTTAATTGTGCTGGCAGATTTGGACTGCAAAAGTACAGATAACTACAAGACAGAAGCCCAAATATTGCCTATTGTCATATGTCAATATCATTTGAGGTTTTGCAGCAATTCCAGTAGCTCTAATTCTAGGGTTTCTTTATATTATGTTTAGCACAATATATTGTATCATTACACAAATTATATTACTCCTAATAAATAATTACTTCTTTTAATATAACTCTTATCTTTACTGTGGTCATAATTACTATGCTAGACAGATGTACAAAAAGTGAAACTGGAGAAAAAGCTGATACAAGTTTGTTTCAGATAGGCTCAGCCTTTCACAATATATATAGAGAGAGCCGAGAGGGAAAACAATTTGTTCTAGAATGTAGGTTTGATCCAAAGAACTTTATTACAAAGGGACTCTGAAGGGTTTTTAATCTCCGTGCACATTTTGGGCAGTCATAAAGATTAAAATTTTGAATTAAAAACATCGGGCTATGTGGAACTCTAGAAACAGAGGAAGAACGGCAGAGACTGCAGATCTAACTTGACCAGGCTGTCCCAACCCCGTCCACACTGCCAAGGAACTCCCTGCAGGAGGGGCGGGAAAATCCAAGCGGGTTTTGGGGCTGGGCCGCCAAACTTTCTTACCTAGGGCTAGGTGGCCAAGTTGCGTTGGGGGAGGAAGTTGGAGGGTAAGAGAAGCTGGAAAAAAAACGGGGTTGAGTGCCAGGGCAAACCCCTGCTCCCGAGTCACCACTGCAGCCGAAAGAGATACCCGCGGCCGAAGTTAAACCAGCCGAGGCTAGGCAGGGCCGCGTGAGGCGGCGGTCAACGCCAGGACTCGGAGCCTTCTCACCGCCGGAGAAGAGGAAGGGGCCTCCCGCGCCGCCACGCCAACATGAAGAAGACGGCCGGGAGCGATCGCCCAGGGCCGGTTCTCCCTGCAGGCGCGGAGGTCAAGAGGGCGGCGGTGGCGGGAGAGCAGCGTTCCCGCTACTGCCTCCTCCCCGGAACCCTGGACGGCCGCCGAATCGTCCCCTCCCCGTGGAGAAAGCGTTGCGGCGGCGGCGCCGTTCCCTCCGCTGCCCGCTCGCCGTCTCCATCCGCCATTATTCTTTGTTCCTCGCGCGGGCCGGCGGCGGCTGGGCTCGGCGGGAGAGGAGCGGCTGAGGGGAAAGAGGCGCCTCCATTTTAAATTAAGGCCACCCCGAGGCGGAGGGGGAGACGACCCGGCGCTGCTGGGGTCGCCAGGCCGAAGCTCGGCTCTCCTTCCTTCTCTCTCGCTCTCCCCGACTACCGTCTCCCCCCCGCCCCGAAGCAACCCCGCCTCAACGGCCGCGCCGCTGCTGGTACTGGTGGTGGCGGCGGCCCTGTGGCTGCCGCCCCTCCCTGTTTTTCTTCTCGGGCTGTTAGTCGCCTTCCTTCCTTCTCTTTGCTTTTCTCCTCTTACCGGCTACAGGCTGCTCCGTCACTGCTTTCGTTCGCGCCTAGGCTCTCGCCGCAGTTTTATTCTCTCCCCCACGTAACACACCGCGTCAAACTACACCTCCGCCGCGTCACTCACATAACACACACACGCTCTCTCAGGCTCTCCCAGCCCCGGCGACAGGCAGGCAGCAGCGGCCGACTGAGAGGGAGAGAGAGGAGCCAGCCAGGGAGCAAGCGCCGCAGAGCATGCCTCGGCTCTCCTCCGCCCCCGCCCCGCGCACGCCCCCTCCCTCCTCTCTGTGCACGGAAAGAACCGAACGGCCCCCACGGAAATGCCCGAAGGGGCTGAGCGGCCGCGGCGGAAAAGAACGACCGGCAGACTGCCCGCGGAGGGTGGGGTGGGGGGTAACTCCTGCTGTTACAGCGGAAACGATCGGCAGACATTTTAGTTGCTCAGCCTGACCGAGAAAGCGCAGATCCACGTTCATGATCCAAGAGAAGGGCAGGGCTACGAGGAAGAGCACGCCTCTCGAGCTGCTTGCTTTCTTGGCAGAGAGGAATGGCCCTCGCTTTGCCCAGTAACCCTCCGCCACTTCCGCGGTAAGGGAAACGGAGGTTGTGTGTTAATGCCAGGGGCGCAAATTTCCGAAAGGAAACGAGTACGGCGAATACTGTAAGGGAGCGGCAGGAAGAGCAAAGCCGGGGAGAATCTAGGGTAGAAAGCCAGGCGGGCGGAGGGAGATCGCGATTCTGCCTGGATGGAAATTGGCTGCTTTTGCAAAAGCGCGCCAGGACTTGGAAATGCAAACAGCGACAGAATGCTTGAACGATTTTTTTTTAAAAAAGAAAGATGGTGAGGAAATAGAAAAGATTTTTGATAGGGGGAAAAACGTGTTTGTCTATGGTAGCAAAGAATCAGGTGTCTGGAAGCAACTGTTCCATTTTAATTTTATAAAATGCACCTTTAAAATTTTTATTTTAAAAATGATTACATATTTAGCAAAATGTGCTGGAAAAAGTGCTAATCCATTTCCCTTATTCTTGAATCTGGCCGAAATTAAGACAAAACCCTACTGACCAGTTCAAAAAAAGTATCTCATTGAGAAATTGGGCTTGCACCGATTTCCACCATGAGTGAGTTTCAGAAGGCATTTTTTTGTGATCCCACAATGATTCCTGAAAAAGAATAACTTGTTTTTCCATACGTACCAAACAAGTTATCATTCCATAATAATAAAATTTCATTTCATACAAATAATAAAAATTCATTGCATATGTTGCAGATATTTCCTGCAAGGTATTGAAATGTAGGAGAACAAACCCATCAGGATAAGATTCAGCAGTCCATCTGCATTTGAAAGACAAAAGCCACTCTTGAAGACAGCAATCTGGACAGAGAGGACTGCAAATTGAACAACAGAGGGACACCTATCTGTCTCCTGTTTACAACAGTCCTTTCTGTATTTCCTAAAAGGTTCCACACCCATTTGCACTATTCAGGTGACCTTGAGGGCACAGATAAACTTCCAAGTGGCCTCAACAATTCTCAGAATGCTAGCAACCAGATAACCACAAGGAATATAAATCCTTCCATTTCTCAACATTCAGTCAGAACTGAAGAAGCTTTTTGGATATGAAGCAAAACGTCTTCAAGGAAAATAAAATCCAGTTGCCTCTTAAAAAACACCTTTGGGACAACTACCAGTATGACCTGGATGACTGAGAATCTCCATAAACATGAAGAGTGAGTCTTTGGGGAAGGATATTCCACAAAGCAGGTACAGAAGCAGCAGGTGCAATCCTCCATCCACTTAACCTTTTGAAAATGGACAACCACTAAAATGTCATTTATCTTGAGCAGATTGAATGGTCTGTAGATGCTTCAGAAGAAGTGCTAAGAATGTGGTAAAATATTTTAACATGACTTTCTAGTAATTTTTTGTTTTCAGCCTGCCCCTCTTAAAAAAAACTGAACTTCCCAGTTACTCAGCAGGTTAACCCAGTGGTCTTTCAGTTGCAGTTGCCTGCTTCAATGAAGATTTATTTGGTATTCTGTCACGCTGCTACTTGTTTGTGAGGAACCTCCCTGCCACTTGCATTCTATCACTGCCCCTCTTTCCTCCACTTTCCCATTTGCTCTGTTCTGGTCCAGGGAAGGAGAATGTGAAATGGAATGTATTCTTGCTTTAGGATGCAGAAGGAAATTTTAGAATATTTGATTCACTGAAAAAGGAGTGAATCTGGGAAGTTGTGAGAAGGTGCAACAGATGACCCATGCTCCATGAATTGTACATCACTTTCATCAGAAATTTCTACATGAGCTTAATCCCCACGATCTTTCACAATTATCAATAGACAATGATACAGAGGATTCTCTTATTTCCAGTATAGGGTGATGTGCACAGGAGATTTTCCAATTCTGGCCAATCCTACATGGCAAGATTTACTTCTTGACCTCAGGGATTTGCCCAGCAAGGTGGAGAAGTAAGTCTGATAGGAGAGGTGATAGGGGTATGGACATAAGTTTGAGGAAACAATGCAAGTATGTTTAATTAAAAGCAATTTAGCCCTGAGGAAAAAGAGAGAGAGAAAAAAGTGAAGATTTTTTTTTTTTGGGTATAAGGAAAGACAGAGATAAATTGTTATCAGGTTGACAATCTGTTTTATCTAAGATGTACACCAACCATGACCTCAATAATCTTTAAAAAGGGAAAATTATAGCCTGGGATTTAAGGATGTCTTCTTAGGGAAGGGGCAAACCATAGCTTCTTTCAAAACTGCTCTCATCAATCTCTACCATAGTGAAGTGTTGATTTTGTTGCCATGTATTTTGAGAGCCAGGAAAGTCTGCAGAGTAATCTGACTGCCAACAGTTGCTAGTTCATTTAGTTCATGCTAACCTAGACATTGGTGTCTGAATATAGGTCTTTTTAACATTCATATTTTATTGTATTTTTAAAATCTAGGTGAAATGTTAATATATATTATAAGTCCGTAACAAGTCCATATGGTAAATAAATATAGTGAAGTGTAACTATGTGCTGGATCTCCTTCCCAAGGAGCCTTGGGGAGGAGGGTAAAATCAAGCCTACAAATAATTGGAGACAACCAAAAGAATATCCTGCTACTTCATCAGAATTCATAAGGCAAAAGCATTTCCAGTTAAATTGGCGAGATGCATACAGTACGTCTCACCACAAGTAGATTCTTTCATGCATAGTCAAGAATAAATCTGAGTTCTCTTTTATTCTAATACCTTGTCTCATATTCCATGAGGACAGTACTAAAATGTTATATAATGTTAATGTAATATAAAGTTTAAAATACAGTTACATATAAAGCAAATGTATAAATACATACTACTACAGAATAATTACATTCATTAGTATCCAGTAAGAAGAGATAATCACTCCCCCAAATTAAATTGTCACGAGGTTAGCTAAATGTACATTATAGAATGTTATACATCTATATGTATTGCACTAACCTGCCCACCCCCCAAAAACCTAACCATTCTTACTACCATTGCTCATATCTGAATTGATGGGATCTCCAATTAAAACTCCCTATCTTCAAGCACTGTTCTATCATTACCTCTTTAGAAATCCATACATACCTTGAAATGTGTGGTATTAGGTTTAGAACAACAAATGAAATGGTTGGGTCAGGGAGTGGGAGGAAGTTAGGAAGGGAAATCTTTATGAGGCATCCACAGTTATTGTATCATCCTCTGTAATTTTCTCTACTTCTTCATCTTTTCCATCTCATCTTTATTGAAATTCCAATTTGGGCCTCCACAAGTAGCATTTGCAACCTCTGCCCACCCCCCATTTCTCCCAAAAGTTTTGATCTTGCACTTTCTGTACCTTTTTCTTCCTATTCCATTTCACTCCTTAATTTGCATCTTTTCCATCTGCTATATATCCATTCTTATTTTTTTGTATGAATTACAGATCAGTCAAATAATGGTCAAGTTTACTTGACCAGGAATCTGCCACTACTTCCTAAAACTATTTCAGTTTGATTGTTTCCAGCTATTTTGCATTCCCATAATCATTACATCTCTCAATCTTCTTGTTCCAGGAGTCCTGCCTCATGTGGTTGAAATTATCTAGCACTTTACAGACTGTCAGCCACAGAGAGTAGGAAGCATGGCAGTAAGTTATACCTCTAGCCAAAAGCAAGGGGACGCATGCAGTGCACACACACACTAAGCAGACAGATGATTCAGCCAATGTCAAGCATGTCATTAAGGGAGGCTGCCAAGAGGAAGCTTTGGCTTGATGGAAGATCAGAATGGGAACAACCTGTTGAGGAATTCCTCTGTGTCTCGTTTCTGCCTGGGCTGTTAGTTTGATTACTCGTAGGAGGAAATAAGACTGCATTGAGAGAGGGAGAAGGGTTCACTCCCCATTGTTTTACCACAAGGCTTCAATTTTTGTTATACCTAGAGGATCAAACTGACTGTTTACTGTGAATAAACCATGCCTGTTTACTGATGTGCAGTCCTACCATCAGAATTAGTCCATCAGTCATCAGATGTTTTGAGATTTTCCTGGATTTTGGGGAGATGAGTTTCTGCCTGTCCTCTTAATCTCTTATTGTTTTCCCCTTCAGTCACTTGGCAGGAGGATTCCCCAAAAATGTTTCTGCAGACCAATTCTAAAAAAGAAAGAGGCTAAAAAGTAACCGACTATTAAAAATAAAATGAAAGAGCTGGGCTCTAAGAATGACATGAGGAACTTCCCACTCTGAGTCATAAAGAACAGCAAAGTGCTTTTCTTCCAGTCAGCTATAGACTTAAACTGGATGTAAACCGAAGGCCTTTTTATTTGCGAAGCCTTGTAACAGCCGTAGTTTTCCAAAACGTAGTTTTTGTTCAGAAGAAAAACAGTTTAGGTCTGTTTAGATATGAACTGCCTCATACATTTGGTACAGTATTTACTATAGAGGAGCTGTTCTTCCTATCCTCCAGTTCCCCAAAGAGATGAGAGATCAGTGATCTTAATCTTAATTTTAATCCTAACCTATTTGCCACTTGAGATCTATCTAGCCCAGGGGTGGGCAGCTATGGCCCCTTTATGACCTTTATGACCATGCTGGCTCGAGAAAACTGGGAGTTGAAGTCCACTGGGTATATAGGGGGCATAGTTGCCTACCCCTGATTTAGGCTATGATAAATTTCATAATCTGATAAGATTTTCCAATACAGTCTAGATCATAATCTTGCA